TTTTTTTGTCGTGACCTGACAAAAGAACAACCCTTTGTTACCAAGTAACAAAAACCCAGGGATTAAATGTAACATCCGTAGTTAGGATGGGGGAAGTATATTGTGAGTTTCCATGACTTGGTTTTCTTGGTTTTGGGGCTTTGAAGGGATTAGTCAAAAGGGAGCAAAGTAACCAGTGAATCACGGAGATTGCTGATAAGGTTGGTGGGTTTTATCTAATCCAGGTACTTGCTGAGACCTCTGGTATAAAATTAGATGAATTGAAGCATGAATCCTCAATATAAAGGAGTCGTGCTCCGAAGCACAATGAAGGGGAACTTTCTCTCAACATGGTAACACTCTGTTTCTGTCCACGACTCCTTTGTGCTTTGTTTTCATAGATTTTTGATGAAGTTCTGTTGTGTTCCCAGGTTTATGCTGCTTCCACCATGCTCTCCGGGAAACCAGCTGGAGCGTCGCTTCTTCTCTTGTATTTTCTCCTTTACATAGCCGAATCGTACCCCAACATTGATTCCTCAAGCAGTAAGAACAGTTTAATAACRGTACTAATTCTGTCCACAGTTGTCTGTGGCTCTTTCTGTAACTTTCTGCCGTCTTCACCATCTGTTGCAGTGGGCTGCGAGGAATGCAAGCTAAGGTTGAACAAGTCTTTTTCAAGGGATCGCCCGATTTATCAGTGTATGGGCTGCTGCTACTCCAGAGCGTACCCCACACCCCTTGGGTCCATGAGGACCATGATGATCCCAAAGAACATCACCTCAGAGGCGACGTGCTGTGTTGCGAAGCACAGCTATGAGGTAAAGTTTGTGGAAGCAAATGTTACACTTCTGTTCCACATTATAATGTACTTTCCAGGTAATTTTAGTAAAAATGTATAGCATTGCTTCCTGTAACAAACGAGCATCAATGTGCAAACATTTCATATGAAGAGGTGTCATGTAATTTTCCATCTTCACCAAAAACTTTTATATTCAAAATTTCAGTTTTCTCCTTTTTAACGCTCATCAAATATTGTTCAAGATGTGCTCTTTAATGACAAAATTTACCAAAGCMCCTAATAATATTCTTGTTCTTTAATTAATTCATAGCAGCCACTACAAAAGCCAAACACATATGATAGTTAATGTACAACAATGTTAACATTTAAATGTAACTTTTTTCAATTATGCATTGATATGTTTGACATAACTGAGTGGCACTTAAAAAACTGGTATAAATATAAATGTTTCATGTTCATTTGCAGAAGTTTTTTCAATAGAATGCACTTACTCTTACTATTTATTAT